GACAGTACACACAATGAAGATACTTATTAAGATACTTGTTATTGATTTTTTTTTTAATAGACCATACCGCTGAAGCCTGGATATTTGCAGAACCTCCTTCCATCTGCCTCTGCTCTTTTTGCAAGCTGTAAAAAGACACACATTATATTAGCCGTTCTATCTATCAGAAAGTTATATTTCCAGGATAATGCAGCTTAAGCAAAGATTCAAGCTGTTAGACTACGGACGTCCTCGCACCAGGCCCACGCCTTCCTCAACCGTACATCAGCTTTATCGACTCCCTGCCAGCCGCGGTAATCAAGCCAGCGCTAAAAATCAGGGCAACGCAAACCAAACAGCATTTCAAGCCGCAACCACGTCCACCTCTGGAGTTCATCATTCGCTCACATCCACTTTTCCCTGTTGCCACCAGTGTCTAGGCCCACAGATCCTGTACAGCTTGGATTCAAAACTACATTTTTGTCCTTTGTGTTAACTTAGCATTTACAATCTTGTTATTAAACTACTTCCTTTACTATTACTTCTTTCTCCCACATCCTGGCTGAGCTGGGTTGAAACAAGGAGGCAAAAAGATAAAAGATAAAATATGCTTGTGTTAATGTTCTATGACGACTGACTCAACACCACATGCCACATTAGAAGCAGTGCTGACGGGTTTATCAGAGATTCTTGACATTGTTTTATTTTGCTTTCATAAAGTCTTGTGTCTGACCTAGCCAGCCCACACAGACCATGACAGTGTGGTTCACAACGAAAGAAAGGTGAGCCCTAAAAAAGGTTCTCCACTCTGAAAACTGACTGTGAGCTGTGAGACCAGAGAGAGACCAGAGTGAGAGACCAGAGAGAGAGACTAGAGAGAGACTAGAGAGAGACCAGAGTGAGAGACCAGAGAGAGAGACCAGAGAGAGAGACTAGAGAGAGACTAGAGAGAGACTAGAGAGAGACCAGAGTGAGAGACCAGAGAGAGAGACCAGAGAGAGAGACTAGAGAGAGACTAGAGAGAGACTAGAGAGAGACCAGAGTGAGAGACCAGAGAGAGAGACTAGAGAGAGACTAGAGAGAGACCCAGAGAGAGACCAGAGAGAGAGACCAGAGAGAGAGACCAGAGAGAGAGACTAGAGAGAGACTAGAGAGAGACCAGAGAGAGACCAGAGAGAGACCAGAGAGAGAGACCAGAGAGAGAGACCAGAGAGAGAGACTAGAGAGAGACTAGAGAGAGACTAGAGAGAGACCAGAGAGAGACCAGAGAGAGAGACCAGAGAGAGAGACCAGAGAGAGAGACTAGAGAGAGACTAGAGGGTGACCAGAGAAAGACCAGAGAGAGAGAGGTTCTGGAGGATCTTTATGAATCCAGACTCTTAAACCGAGCTCTTAGAATAGTCATTAACAATGGCACATAAACCATTGTCATTGGTTTGTGAGAACCCCTGCTCTACAAAACTACCATTGGACTAGAGGCTCACAGGGAAGGCATGGAGACTTGACAATGTTAGATTTCACCAGTAATATCTGTTGTTGTTTCTGTTCGTGCTGCTGTGAAACTCACAGTGGCCATTTTTTCAGCAGGAGGCTTCCCTTCAAACACAAAGACTGGCTTTATGTCATGTTCAAGTAACGTCAGCGTACGGAAGAAGAGACCAGACAGAGTCAGACTGTGGAGCACATGGCACAACACTGTTATTACACAAGACTGTGGTTAACAACTGATGGACGAATATCAATCATATCGATGTGGGAAAAGAGCTTACTTTGTGGCAGCTGAAGGAAGTGCAGCCCGAAACTGGTGCATAATGATTGATGTATCCAGTGCAATTATTTTCCCTGCAGTAACAGAGAAAAAACATCAGAAAAACATTTCACATCACACTTCCATGTTAAAGCTAGGACTGCACTGACTTGATATGAGAATACAAAACAAGGTTAAGGGCGTATGATGATGATCCAGGACATTTATGGAATTGAATTGAAAGAAAGTTATAGTAATGTTTTAGAGTTGCTTTCACCTACATACCCACTCATTCAGCTGTATTTACCTTCTCTATATCACAAAGGTATGCTCGGTGTAAAAGGAACGCTCTGTCCTAGTGTTATCAAATGTGGTCTGACACTGAGTACATTCAAGAGGAAACTAAAGACTCATTAGTTTAGACTTTTATTTTCCACAGGTTGCATCTATTTCCAAGGTCTTGCAAGTTTTGTATCAAATCTGCTTAACCATTTTTTTCCCTCCACTCCTACACGTAGTTGTGCAAAAACACAATAGTAAGTATAACAGTCTGCTGTATGCGAGAATTCATTATATTCAACGTAAAAATCATAAGTTGATGTTTGATTTAACACAAAAATATGATTTATATTTTTCCAATGACAACTGAGTCAAGAGAGAAAAGCAATCAGGTATAAAAGCTGTTATCAGTTTGAACAGAGCACTTTAATGATTTGCACTTGTTTTGAAACTGTTTTAGCCGATCGATTTCACAGTGACATTTGTTTACTGTTTTATTTGTTTTATTTCTGTCTTTTAATGTTGTTTTATGTCTGTGCATACTGGAGACTTTTTGCTAATGTATTCCAATGTGGGTTTTTTTTTTACTGCAAATGGCAAATAAACTGAATCTGAAAATGATATTAAAAATAATTATCAAAGACACAACAATTTGTTAAGAAGTTCTGGTGGTGTCACGTGACTAGCATTAGCACGGATGCTAAAATTAGCTACCACAACAAAACAAATATAAGCTAGGTCTGTTCATCAGTCCAAGCCATAAATTAAATACTATTAAATATATATCAGACCTGAATAGTCGCTGATGTCTTTGTGGGAGATGGCATCGGGAGCTTCAGTCCGAACTAAATCTGCCAGTTTTGTGATCCCCATTGTGTTGTCTCTACACGGAATCTAGTTTTAGCGCGATCGGAATGAGTTTAGAGAAACAGGGACATAAATCTATTATTCTAACATCAGGACAGTGTGGGGTTGTTTTCCTGGTTGCCAAAAAAGGCTGTGATTTCGCAGTTTGTGTGTGAAAAGTTGGGGTCAGGACAGGTCTGCATCATCCAAGGAAGAGGCTCAGGGTGTGGTGAGGTTCAATCACCAACAGGGGGCGCCAAACACGAAGGAAAACCGCAAATAAAAGTGTGTCATAATCTTAATATTTACAGTCATGGATATAATATATAATACATCCACGTTCATGCCTTGTGGCCAAATCTGAAGACAGCCATTATACATAGTGACGTGGCTTTTTGGCTTTTAAGTATAAAAATCTTGAGAGTCTAGGCTAATATGGCATGGTATTTATAATTTTAAAGATAATTTCATAAAGCAAAAAGTCCTAATTAAAAGTAACAATTATTCAGGCCACTCATTAAGCAGCTAGACTCATTTTGTTCATAGAAAATAACTTAATGATTGTGAAAAGTCATGGCTCATTATACAAATAGTTACCAACGCTGATTTTCCTGATTTTATCTCTGTACATATTTGACCACAAGAACAAAAATGTCGTTTCTCTACGGTTGTTATTGATAAATGAGAAGATGGGACAATTGGAAACGCTTATAATTGACAAAATAAAGGCAAAAACAAGACACACATTTCCAACAACCACAAGAAGTAATGGCAGAAATAACAGATTTATTACTTTACTTTCTCTCTATAAACATGTAACAACAACATGGAAACTTTAAATTCCCAACCATGCAGTTCACATAATTTAAGTATTAGATTTCATCATTGGAAAAAATAATAAATTGATCTAAACAGAATCATATAAAAAGACTTGAACCAAAGTAAAAAAGTAAAATCTTGTCAAAGGGAGCACAGATGGGGGTCTGCATTCACACCAATATGGTTAAAGTCCTTTGAGACTCTGGCCTGAGAGAAGCACTGTATAAATAACATACTTAGACTAGAAGGATATTAAAGTTTAACCCCAACAGCAGTTTTTGCAGTAAATAGTCCAAAATAATTTAGTGGACAAAACTACATTTTAGGAAACTTTAATATTAGACATCGAACAGCATTCAGGAAAGATATGGCATTGATAGCTTAAGTATTTTTGACACATAACTGCGGTTGGTCCTTTAACAAACGATAAATCATTTCTGCATTTATCCATTACTCTTCTCTAATGAAGTTGATATATAACTTTGTAAATAACTTTCTGTCAAAGAGCATTCCCTAATACCCTCAGCAAAACATGGTATTTACCGTCACAATGGCAAACACTGCAAAAAAAGGTTAAATATGAGGTAATAATTGCTTGAATTTAGTGTTTTTTTGTCTAAATTCAAGCACATTCTGACTGTGTTAAAGTAAGTAAGTAAGTAAGCTTTATTTATATACCGCCTTTCACAGACAAGGGTCACAAAGCGGTTTACAATTGTTATTTTTTGGGCACTTGTCCTCTCACTCCACACAGAGATGGGAGCAGGGTCGCCGAACAGGAGGCACATGCCAGACCTATTGTACATATTTTTAGTGGTAGGGGAAACCGGAGCACCCGGAGGAAACCTACGCAGACACGGGGAGAACATGCAAACTCCACTCAGAAAGGCCCTGGTCCGGCCGGGATTCGAACCCAGGACCTTCTTGCTGAGAGGCGAGAGTGCTATCCACTCAGCCACCGTGCCGCCCGAAAAGCCATTTCGTCTTATCTCAAGATCTGTTGCTTTATTTTTTCATTCCAAGGGAGACATTTCTTGTATCTCTCAAGGCTTTTTGTTTTAAAGCAGTCAAAATGTGCTCAAATTAAAACACATTTAGCCAAACTTGAGACATTTTTGACTTGTTTTTCATTGCTTTTTGCAGTGACGCAGCTTTTTTGTGGTGGTCTGACTTTTTTTCCAGTCGACCAGCAGAAAGATATAAATAACACTCACGTTTACGCGAAGTAACATGTCAGTAGTCGAGACGTTGAGATGGACACAACATGAACTTAATTTAATACATAGTTTTTTTTTAAAGAATTTGTGGAGACTACACAGTTCTTCCGAGTTCAGCGGCGAAACCATATCCAGGTGTTGATGAGCCAAAACGCCACGGTGGCCGAGTACAGCACCACCTCTCGCCGCGACCGCTCTTTGTTTTCCTCTTCCAGGAGCTGCAGACGCCGGTTCAACTTCACAATCTGGAAACGTACAAGCAAATAAGTGAGATTTCTTTATTTATATATTTATATATACTCTATACAGGAATGGGAGTGGGGACATAAAGCAGGATACATGTCGTGTATGAATGAGGAAGACTGACTTAGAAAAAGCATCAAGGAAACAAACTAATACGCTAACACTAATAATCTACGCACAGATTAAACAAAGTGGAGCGGCGATTCGTCCTTAAAGTGATAGTCTGGAACTCCAAATTAATTACAAATTCATTAAGTTCCAAATTAATGAATTACACATTTTTAAGGCCAAATGTGACACGTAAAAATTCTCCAGTGTGAGATCAATAAAGTCTCATAAGTTCTCATAAAAAGGTGGTTGGTGAAAAAACACATGCATTGAATTCGCCCTGCCTCCCATGTCCTTCCTTCTGCAGATACTTCCTGTTTCTTGTGATTGACTCTTTAGCTGTCCAATCAAATGCGACCACAAACACGGCTCAGAAAGTGGCAGCTCAGGAGAGATTCAGACCCTCACAGATGAGAAAATTGATATTGTACAATTGTGTGTTTCTGGGTTATCCAGCTCCAGACTTCCCTCTCCGCACACACCTCCTCCAGCTCATCCAGGGCTTTCCCAGGCCAGCTGAGGCGTCCCTAGAGGCGACCAAAATAGATGCGCCTAACCACCTCATCGAGCAGCGTCTCTATCTACCAAGATCCTCACCTGATCCCCATCGGAGCACCAGGGAACTCAGCGAATGAAACCCATTTTATTTTTGTCCTTTCGGTCCAATACCTAAATCAAAACGTAACTATTTTCTTTCCCAGAACAACCTACCAATCAAGAATATGTGATAATTTGTTTTAAAGGAGCAGGATGTAAAAAAATCTGGCCAAAAGTGGTACCCTGACTCAGGTTGCCAGATATGCAGATGAATCCAGCTGGGACCATAACAGCTGAATAGACAAGAGTTTTGTCCACAACAAATCTATAACCAACACCTTTTTCACAAAGATAGAAATCCTGTTTTTATTCCTTGTTTTGATATTCATAAATTTGAGAATCAAAACTTTACCATTGAGAATAGAAGCCTTTCTGATTGGTTAAACAGCGGAGGGCGGGGCATCAAAACAAAAAAATAACAAGATTTAGGGGCCGTAAAACTAATTTTGAAATTCATATATCTCTGAACTACTGTTATCAGTTAAAGAAGTATTGAAAAAGAACTTTTTTATTAATGCCTTCTGACAGATTAGGGCCCTTTAATGATGACTTGACATAAAAATCTCACATATTGCTACTTTAAATATAATAGGATACTAGCAGTACTTATTTTAGTTAACCAGTAAGCCCCATGTTTATTTGTAACTTAAAATAAGGAAAAAAAAGAGCCTTTTTCCAGTACCACACTGGTAAATCTCTACTCATGACCATAGGTGAGACTGGAATCCTTCAGCTCCCTCATAACTGCCATTTTTCAGAAGACAGATCACCTTCCCCCTTTACTCTCACCTGTCTTCGGAGCGAGGAAGCATCCACTAAACTTGATTCGTCGTGAAAATCCAACGCGAGGTCGTGAGAAATCCTGGAGGAATCAAAACAGTGTGTATTAATTTGTGAGCATTAAACATTGGCCTCACCCCAGCGGGAGGTTCGGGACGGTTACCTGCGCGGGTTGTCGTCGATCAGCTCCAGCACCTGTTGGTAAGCGCGGCGTGTGGTGGACTGAACGTACGACAGGAACCCGGCCGTGGTGAAGAGGTTCATGTGGGCGTCTTCAGGGGAGGAGAGGGGGGGGCAGAGGCGCACGGCGGGGACACAGGGGGAGGGGCTGGCACTGACGGGAATACACAGGTGATCAGACAGTACAGAAAAAAGTAGCTTTAAAAAGAAAAGCTCTCTCTGGTGCCACTCTCCCTCTCTCTCTCTCTCTCTGATGCCACTCTCCCTCTCTCTCTCTGATGCCACTCTCCCTCTCTCTCTCTCTCTCTGATGCCACTCTCCCTCTCTCTCTCTCTCTCTGGTGCCACTCTCCCTCTCTCTGATGCCACTCTCCCTCTCTCTCTCTCTCTCTCTCTGATGCCACTCTCCCTCTCTCTCTCTCTCTCTGATGCCACTCTCCCTCTCTCTCTCTGGTGCCACTCTCCCTCTCTCTCTCTCTCTCTGGTGCCACTCTCCCTCTCTCTCTCTGGTGCCACTCTCCCTCTCTCTCTCTCTCTGATGCCACTCTCCCTCTCTCTCTCTGATGCCACTCTCCCTCTCTCTCTCTCTGATGCCACTCTCCCTCTCTCTCTCTGGTGCCACTCTCCCTCTCTCTCTCTCTCTCTGGTGCCACTCTCCCTCTCTCTCTCTGATGCCACTCTCTCCCTCTCTCTCTGGTGCCACTCTCCCTCTCTCTCTCTGGTGCCTCTCTCCCTCTCTCTCTCTGGTACCTCTCTCCCTCTCTCTCTCTGGTGCCTCTCTCCCTCTCTCTCTCTGGTGCCACTCTCCCTCCCTCTCTCTGATGCCACTCTCCCTCCCTCTCTCTGATGCCACTCTCCCTCCCTCTCTCTGATGCCACTCTCCCTCTCTCTCTCTGATGCCACTCTCCCTCTCTCTCTCTGATGCCACTCTCCCTCTCTCTCTCTGGTGCATCTCTCCCTCTCTCTCTCTGGTGCCACTCTCCCTCTCTCTCTCTGATGCCACTCTCCTCTCTCTCTCTGATGCCACTCTCCCTCTCTCTCTCTGATGCCACTCTCCCTCTCTCTCTCTGATGCCACTCTCCCTCTCTCTCTCTGATGCCACTCTCCCTCTCTCTCTCTGATGCCACTCTCCCTCTCTCTCTCTGATGCCACTCTCCCTCTCTCTCTCTGATGCCACTCTCCCTCTCCCTCTCTGATGCCACTTTCCCTCTCTCTCTCTGGTGCCACTCTCCCTCTCTGATGCCACTCTCCCTCTCTCTCTCTGGTGCCACTCTCCCTCTCTCTCTCTGATGCCACTCTCCCTCTCTCTCTCTGATGCCACTCTCCCTCTCTCCTCTCTGATGCCACTCTCCCTCTCTCTCTCTCTGGTGCATCTCTCCCTCTCTCTCTCTGGTGCCTCTCTCCCTCTCTCTCTCTGGTGCCTCTCTCCCTCTCTCTCTCTCTCTGGTGCCACTCTCCCTCTCTCTCTCTGGTGCCACTCTCCCTCTCTCTCTCTGGTGCCACTCTCCCTCTCTCTCTCTGGTGCCACTCTCCCTCTCTCTCTCTGGTGCCACTCTCCCTCTCTCTCTCTGGTGCCTCTCTCTCTCTCTCTCTCTGGTGCCTCTCTCCCTCTCTCTCTCTGATGCCACTCTCCCTCTCTCTCTCTGGTGCCTCTCTCCCTCTCTGGTGCCTCTCTCCCTCTCTCTCTCTGGTGCCTCTCTCCCTCTCTCTCTCTGGTGCCTCTCTCCCTCTCTCTCTCTGATGCCACTCTCCCTCCCTCTCTCTGATGCCACTCTCCCTCCCTCTCTCTGATGCCACTCTCCTCCCTCTCTCTGATGCCACTCTCCCTCCCTCTCTCTGGTGCCACTCTCCCTCTCTCTCTCTGATGCCACTCTCCCTCTCTCTCTCTGATGCCACTCTCCCTCTCTCTCTCTGATGCCACTCTCCCTCTCTCTCTCTGATGCCACTCTCCCTCTCCCTCTCTGATGCCACTTTCCCTCTCTCTCTCTGGTGCCACTCTCCCTCTCTGATGCCACTCTCCCTCTCTCTCTCTGGTGCCACTCTCCCTCTCTCTCTCTGATGCCACTCTCCCTCTCTCTCTCTGATGCCACTCTCCCTCTCTCTCTCTGATGCCACTCTCCCTCTCTCTCTCTCTGGTGCATCTCTCCCTCTCTCTCTCTGGTGCCTCTCTCCCTCTCTCTCTCTGGTGCCTCTCTCCCTCTCTCTCTCTCTCTGGTGCCACTCTCCCTCTCTCTCTCTGGTGCCACTCTCCCTCTCTCTCTCTGGTGCCACTCTCCCTCTCTCTCTCTGGTGCCACTCTCCCTCTCTCTCTCTGGTGCCACTCTCCCTCTCTCTCTCTGGTGCCTCTCTCTCTCTCTCTCTCTGGTGCCTCTCTCCCTCTCTCTCTCTGATGCCACTCTCCCTCTCTCTCTCTGGTGCCTCTCTCCCTCTCTGGTGCCTCTCTCCCTCTCTCTCTCTGGTGCCTCTCTCCCTCTCTCTCTCTGGTGCCTCTCTCCCTCTCTCTCTCTGATGCCACTCTCCCTCCCTCTCTCTGATGCCACTCTCCCTCCCTCTCTCTGATGCCACTCTCCCTCCCTCTCTCTGATGCCACTCTCCCTCCCTCTCTCTGGTGCCACTCTCCCTCTCTCTCTCTGGTGCCACTCTCCCTCTCTCTCTCTGGTGCCACTCTCCCTCTCTCTCTCTGGTGCCACTCTCCCTCTCTCTCTCTGGTGCCACTCTCCCTCTCTCTCTCTGGTGCCACTCTCCCTCTCTCTCTCTGGTGCCACTCTCCCTCTCTCTCTCTGGTGCCACTCTCCCTCTCTCTCTCTGGTGCCTCTCTCCCTCTCTCTCTCTGGTGCCTCTCTCCCTCTCTCTCTGGTGCCACTCTCCCTCTCTCTCTCTGATGCCACTCTCCCTCCCTCTCTCTGATGCCACTCTCCCTCCCTCTCTCTGATGCCACTCTCCCTCCCTCTCTCTGATGCCACTCTCCCTCCCTCTCTCTGATGCCACTCTCCCTCCCTCTCTCTGGTGCCACTCTCCCTCTCTCTCTCTGGTGCCACTCTCCCTCTCTCTCTCTGGTGCCACTCTCCCTCTCTCTCTCTGGTGCCACTCTCCCTCTCTCTCTCTGGTGCCACTCTCCCTCTCTCTCTCTGGTGCCACTCTCCCTCTCTCTCTCTGGTGCCACTCTCCCTCTCTCTCTCTGGTGCCACTCTCCCTCTCTCTCTCTGGTGCCACTCTCCCTCTCTCTCTCTGGTGCCACTCTCCCTCTCTCTCTCTGGTGCCACTCCTCCCTCTCTCTCTCTGGTGCCACTCTCCCTCTCTCTCTCTGGTGCCACTCTCCCTCTCTCTCTCTGGTGCCACTCTCCCTCTCTCTCTCTGGTGCCACTCTCCCTCTCTCTCTCTGGTGCCACTCTCCCTCTCTCTCTCTGGTGCCACTCTCCCTCTCTCTCTCTGGTGCCACTCTCCCTCTCTCTCTCTGGTGCCACTCTCCCTCTCTCTCTCTGGTGCCTCTCTCCCTCTCTCTCTCTGGTGCCTCTCTCCCTCTCTCTCTGGTGCCACTCTCCCTCTCTCTCTCTGATGCCACTCTCCCTCCCTCTCTCTGATGCCACTCTCCCTCTCTCTCTCTGATGCCACTCTCCCTCTCTCTCTCTGGTGCATCTCTCCCTCTCTCTCTCTGATGCCACTCTCCCTCTCTCTCTCTCTCTCTGGTGCCACTCTCCCTCTCTCTCTCTGGTGCCTCTCTCCCTCTCTCTCTCTGGTGCCTCTCTCCCTCTGGTGCATCTCGCCCTCTCTCTCTCTGGTACCACTCTCCCTCTCTCTCTCTGGTGCCACTCTCCCTCTCTCTCTCTGGTGCCACTCTCCCTCTCTCTCTCTGGTGCCACTCTCCCTCTCTCTCTCTGGTGCCACTCTCCCTCTCTCTCTCTGGTGCCTCTCTCCCTCTCTCTGGTGCCTCTCTCCCTCTCTCTCTCTGGTGCCTCTCTCCCTCTCTCTCTGGTGCCTCTCTCCCTCTCTCTCTCTGGTGCCTCTCTCTCTCTGGTGCCTCTCTCCCTCTCTCTCTCTGGTGCCTCTCTCCCTCTCTCTCTCTCTGGTGCCTCTCTCCCTCTCTCTCTCTGATGCCACTCTCCCTCTCTCTCTCTGGTGCCTCTCTCCCTCTCTGGTGCCTCTCTCCCTCTCTCTCTCTGGTGCCTCTCTCCCTCTCTCTCTCTGGTGCCTCTCTCCCTCTCTCTCTCTGATGCCACTCTCCCTCCCTCTCTCTGATGCCACTCTCCCTCCCTCTCTCTGATGCCACTCTCCCTCCCTCTCTCTGATGCCACTCTCCCTCCCTCTCTCTGGTGCCACTCTCCCTCTCTCTCTCTGGTGCCACTCTCCCTCTCTCTCTCTGGTGCCACTCTCCCTCTCTCTCTCTGGTGCCACTCTCCCTCTCTCTCTCTGGTGCATCTCTCCCTCTCTCTCTCTGATGCCACTCTCCCTCTCTCTCTCTCTCTCTCTGGTGCCACTCTCCCTCTCTCTCTCTGGTGCCTCTCTCCCTCTCTCTCTCTGGTGCCTCTCTTCCTCTGGTGCATCTCGCCCTCTCTCTCTCTGGTACCACTCTCCCTCTCTCTCTCTGGTGCCACTCTCCCTCTCTCTCTCTGGTGCCACTCTCCCTCTCTCTCTCTGGTGCCACTCTCCCTCTCTCTCTCTGGTGCCACTCTCCCTCTCTCTCTGGTGCCTCTCTCCCTCTCTCTCTCTGGTGCCTCTCTCCCTCTCTCTCTCTGGTGCCACTCTCCCTCCCTCTCTCTGATGCCACTCTCCCTCCCTCTCTCTGATGCCACTCTCCCTCCCTCTCTCTGATGCCACTCTCCCTCCCTCTCTCTGATGCCACTCTCCCTCTCTCTCTCTGATGCCACTCTCCCTCTCTTTCTCTGATGCCACTCTCCCTCTCTCTCTCTGGTGCATCTCTCCCTCTCTCTCTCTGATGCCACTCTCCCTCTCTCTCTCTCTCTCTCTGGTGCCACTCTCCCTCTCTCTCTCTGGTGCCACTCTCCCTCTCTCTCTCTGGTGCCACTCTCCCTCTGGTGCCACTCTCCCTCTGATGCCACTCTCCCTCTCTCTCTCTGATGCCACTCTCCCTCTCTCTCTCTGATGCCACTCTCCCTCTCTCTCTCTGATGCCACTCTCCCTCTCTCTGGTCCCTCTCTCTCTCTCTGGTCCCTCCCTCTCTGGTCCAACTACTAAACTCACTTTTAGCATGAGGAGAAAGAGCAGAGGTATGAAGTGTACATAAAGCATGTGTAAGAAAGCAGTGTTGATAATACTGACATGTAGGGGGCGCTCTGTCGAGTGGACACGTTGTCGCTCACACTGCGCTCCCTGCGAGAGCGAGAGGGCTGCGTCTGGGGGCAGAACGACGAGCTCATGGTGAAAGCAGAATATCAAGGACACTGGAAAAACTCTTGCTAATTATTAGAAGATGCATTCATTCATTGCCATAGCAACAATAAACACTTTAGTGGTGAGCGAAAACAGGAGAATTTCAGACATTCATGAGTCGGTAAAGATATTATGCTTCCATTTCTACTGCATTTTAGTCTGTGCGACGGATGACACATTGAGTTGTTGTAACACACTCATCTAATATTGAGAATAGGCATTATTTAAATCTGATAAACGGGATGTAGTTAAAACTAAACTGTATGAGTTAAAGTTGAACAATGGAAAAGAGGTGGTGTTGTATAATTTTGTCCCATTACCCTGTGAGATATGTCCATCTTTGTCAATCTTTTTGTTAAAACATGATAATATTGTCTTCGGATACTCGAGGGTTCATGGGAGTTTGCCCAACCTGTCCACATGTGCTTTGTGGATTTGGAGAAGGCGTTCGACCGTGTTCCCCGGGGTGTCTTTTGGGGGGTTCTCCGGGAGTACGGGGTCCGGGGTCCTCTGCTGAGGGCCGTTCGGTCCCTGTATGACCGGAGCCAGAGCTGTGTTCGCATTGCCGGCAGTAAGTCAGACCTGTTCCCGGTGCATGTTGGCCTCCGCCAAGGCTGCCCTTTGTCACCGGTTCTGTTCACTGTATTTATGGACAGAATTTCTAGGCGCAGCCAGGGGTCGGAGGGGGTCCGGTTTGGGGACCTAAGGATTTCATCCCTGCTTTTTGCGGACGATGTTGTCCTGTTGGCTCCAACGAACCAGGACCTGCAGCATGCACTGGGGCGGTTTGCAGCAGAGTGTGAAGCGGCTGGGATGAGAATCAGCACCTCCAAATCTGAGGCCATGGTGCTCGACCGGAAAAAGGTGCCTTGCCCTCTGCAGGTGGGTGGAGAGGTCCTTCCTCAAGTGGAGGAGTTCAAGTATCTCGGGGTCTTGTTCACGAGTGAGGGAAGGATGGAGCGTGAGATTGACAGGCGGATCGGTGCAGCGTGCGCAGTGATGCGGTCGCTGTATCGGACCGTTGTGGTAAAGAGGGAGCTGAGCCGAAAGGCAAAGCTCTCGATTTACCGGTCAATCTTCGTTCCCTCCCTCACCTATGGTCATGAGCTTTGGGTAATGACCGAAAGAACGAGATCGCGGATACAAGCGGTCGAAATGAGCTTCCTCCGCAGAGTGGCTGGGCGCTCCCTTAGAGATAGGGTGAGGAGCTCAGTCACACGGGAGGAGCTCGGAGTAGAGCCGCTGCTTCTCCACGTCGAGAGGAACCAGTTGAGGTGGCTCTTGGACGGCTTCCTGGGGAGGTGTTCCGGGCACGTCCCACCGGGAGGAGGCCCCGCGGAAGACCCAGGACACGCTGGAGGGACTATGTCTCTCAGCTGGCCTGGGAACGCCTTGGGGTCCCCCCGGACGAGCTGGAGGAAGTGTGTGTGGATAGGGAAGTTTAGGCGTCTCTGCTTAGACTGCTGCCCCCGCAACCCGGCAACGGATGATGCGGAAGAAAATGGATGGATGGATGGATGGATAATATTGTTATGAATAAATATTAGTTTGTCCTTTATACAGATGTAAATGTCCAGAAAAGTATAAATATAAAGCTTTATCTGACCCAAATATATCTATATTTATCTAAAAACACAATTCAAAAGACACAAATACCCAAAAAGGAAAATATAGTAAGAAATGTTGCCAAAGTGGTGCCGCTGTACTGACTAGTGAATGGTGGTACTGGTCTCTCACCTGGTTCTGAGCACGAGTCTCCTCCGTCTCCAGAGAGTCCAGCGGCTGCTCTGACAGAGTGAGGACTCGGGGAGGAGCCTTCATGTTGAGCAGGTCGTTCTGTGGCACGGACTGGATCAGGTCCAAGTCTCTGGGACGAGAGAACCGGGCGTCCTCGTCATCTCCTGTCGCCAAAAACACAAACAGGAACTTATTATTTCATTTACGCGTATGGACGATGTGTTTTCTGCTGCAGTACACCTGGATTTCTTCTATGGGGATCAATAAAACAATCGGATCTATCTATTTAATTGGCTCACTACTGTTTAGACAAGCCTATTTAAATAATAACTACACCATCCTCTGTCCATGCGGTTTTTAATGACTAGATTCAATCATTTATTTTCCATTTGCAGTAAAACCACATTGGACAAACTGTGCAAGACTACCCCAGTGTGTTTTTAAATGTACTTTTTACTTGTTGTGTAAGGCAACCATGAGTGTCTAGAACGGTGCCTAAGACATAAAATGTATCATCATTATTATTACTACCACTACATGACTCACAAAAAGTGCCAAATTTACTTTTTTTTCATATTAATCAACGATGTCAAGGCCCCTGCTTTTCAACCTGTCCCTCGCTCCTTCCTCTGTTCTTTTTTACCGTGTAGACTGTATATATTAACGAACGTACTCACGCCTATCTCCGCCGTTCTATCTAATGTGCCACAACTTCTGCGGTCTATGGGCAGTTTCAAAATGGCCACGGGGGCTGGAAAATGTGAAAAAACTCATCTGCTTATGCATCAGCTGCACCAGCCCTATTCATTTAAACGAGTGACTTCAAAAATTCACAGCGACTAAACTAGACTGGTCCAAAACACCCCCCTCAGCATTGACACACATGTGGAACAGAGCTTTGGGCCAAGAGCCGACTTTTGGACCATCCTGTAAAGACGCTTTCGAAAGGTCAGCTAATGCTATGTGTTAGCATTGGCTAATTCTTATTCTGGGTCCACCCCCATCGGCCCGGGGTGGTATTGCAAGCATGTCAACGCACGTCATTTTGGCCACTTTTGAGCCAGGACCCGCCCACACTGGTATAAACCTGCAGCATCTCCATGTGTATTTATGTATTTAGCTCACAGCACTTTATCATCACGTCAATTCCTAAACAAGTGAAGGCAAATAATCTCTTTTCAAGGTTCCACAGTCCACACACACATTTCTCCACTAAATTCATAGATCCAACACATACTAATGCATCTGCGCTTCAGTCACACTCACGTCAAAGAGCAGCAAACTTGGCCCCGCCCACAATGTTTGGTTTCCATGACCACGCTGTCACTCACAGGGGCAACTATTCTGCCTTATAAAATGTATGTTGGAAGAGTGGGAAACAGAGTGAAATCAAAATGGATTTGGTTTAAATGATACAAATGTCGATTGAACACTGACCAAAAAAATTATAGTAAGAAAATTGAAAAGATGCTAAAGAGAAATGGTTGTAAAATAATAATCTACACTGCAAAAAGGATGAAAAATAAGTTAGAATGTGCTAAAGATTTGGCAAAATGTATCTTAAAGCAGCAGTAAGCGATTTGGTCGTTTCCGGCAGTTTCTTCTGCCTGAGCGAGTTAGTAGCCCCGCCCCCGTCTCCTCGTCACACCACATGAACGCGCATCGTGTTGGTGATGGCAGCAGCAGATTCATCTCCGTCAGGCCTACTCGTAAGTATATTAACAACAAACTCTGGGAGTGAAATATTAGCATAGAATAGCTCAGTTGTAACCTAGCTATAACACTGGAAGCAGCTTGGTGTTAGCTAGGATAGCATCACTAAGAGATAAAAACAATCCAGTCTTTTATAGAATAATACTGCTTTTATAGTTGGCACACTGATAACTGTTGTGATAAACATAATGTTGCAGATTGCAGTGTGACGTGTCTCAACATTATGCACTGTAACATCTGTTACAGTGCATATGTATTAGATGAATGTAATGCATATACATTACAACAACAAAGCTTTACATGAAGGTTATTTAAAGTAATACATTACTGCTTTCCTCACAATTTGTATATTTGGAGTTCTTTATAGACAACACTGTAGTAATGTATTATGTGAAAGTAAAGCTGCATCTCACTGTAAGCTGCCTTCTCAATGTCACAAAATAAAGATACATTTATTGATGTAATCAACATCTGTATTATGTGCTTATTGTTCAGAGAATGAAGACAAAATCAAAGTGTATCAGAGCTGTACAGTGAGATGTGGGACTGAAAAACAATTCCAGTAAAGCTTGTCCGAAACGCAAAAGTACTGTCATAACTAATTACGTTACACTATTACACTGTAAGGAAACTCACCACTTTGAAAGAAAAGCTACAAGTAACAGAATATATAAAGTCATTTGTCATAACGGTTCTTTCAGGAAGCACTGAACGCCCTCTGTCCAGAGAAGCTGATGACCAGATCCTCCCAGACCTTTCCCTGGTGCGTCTGTGAAAGGTGCCAACAGACATTGAAAACGTGCTTTCCTCAGCGGCCCCCATGGTGCACGTCCTCAGCGGCCCCCATGGTGCACGTCCTCAGCGGCCCCCCATGGTGCACGTCCTCAGCGGCCCCCATGGTGCACGTCCTCAGCGGCCCCCCATGGTGCACGTCCTCAGCGGCCCCCATGGTGCACGTCCACTCTGCAGTTCTGAAATATGTTTGTAGTTGTACTATTTCAAAATAAAAAAAAATACATTCACCTCTTTCAATGTGCTTTGTTTTATAGTAGGAAAACAAATACAGTCTGTAACGAGTCTAAGAAACTTTATTATGTAAAAGAAGATTTGAAGTTATAGCCGGAAAAATATACACAATGTCCCTACTAAGACAAATAATTACAAGTGATGGAAAGGCAACGTTTGTGTTATCACTTTTTGCTCAAATGAATAACACTGTTATTATTCAGGTCCTTATCCATCGCTGCTGCAGCGAACACTATCAGAGATATCTAACAAAATGTTAATCTTTATGTTGTAGTTTGTTTGAACACATTTCCTCAAAATAATTCATAAGCAGCCACGCACACACAGCCACAAGCACACACAGCCACAAGCACACACAGTCACAAGCACACACAGCCACAAGCACACAAGCACACACGCACACACAGCCACAAGCACACAAGCACACACGCACACACAGCCACACGCACACACAGCCACACAGTCACAGTCACACACAGTCACAAGCACACAGCCACAAGCACACACAGCCACAAGCACACACAGCCACAAGCACACACAGCCACACGCACACACAGCCACACGCACACACAGCCACAAGCACACACAGCCACACGCACACACAGCCACAAGCACACACAGTCACAAGCACACACAGCCACACGCACACACAGCCACAAGCACACACAGCCACACGCACACACAGCCACAAGCACACACAGCCACACGCACACACAGCCACACGCACACACAGCCACACGCACACACAGCCACACGCAGACAGTCACAAGCACACACAGCCACACGCACACACAGCCACACACAGCCACAAGCACACACAGTCACAAGCACACACAGTCACAAGCACACACAGCCACGCTTCAGGGGCCCAGGTTGAAGGAACTGGAGTCTTCCTCTGGCAGAGATTTTCCTTTGAAACATAATAGAAGAGACATAAGTTTTATCTACTCAAATATGACTTTGATATATTCATCATCAACAACATCAGTATTTATTGGTCACCAGGAGTGGCCCCTGATCCACAGGATCCTTGAACATGTTTATTTGGACTGTGAGAGACTGTGCATTGTGAGAGAAAGACACTTACATCGGCTGTTTTGGGAGTCGAGTGATTATCTCACTCCTCTTGATTGTTGAAGAAACTCAGCGACAGTTTTGTCAACACTGACTCCTGGAACATGATCGATATTCATTTTGGACCTCAGGGCAGCAACACAACTGTAGGGATGAACGACACACACATCACAACATCATTATCATAATCACTGCGTCCCATATATGCATTCACAACAACCTACATGACAAATGTGGGGTGTAAAGTCTTCCTCAGGAGATGACAATGGCCGATCTTCTAATTCTGGAAGCAAAGTCTTGTCTTCGCAGTCAATACTAGAGAAAGAAGAGGTCAGCAGAAAAGTATCTAGTCGTTATGGCATTGTTTTTTTTTTAATAGTTATTTAACTTGCATTATGGAGGCTTTTGAACTCTTGCACATTGAAGACCTCATTCCAATTGATTTAGGCCATACTGGAAAAGATACAGAGAAAAGAATGCAATGAAGACATGTAAATTATTACAATGTCTATATTATATCATGCTCATAATTTATTTGGTAGTAGTCAGCAAGACTCTTACTTATTCTCAATACATAATAATAAAAATGTATGTAGTGGTCACGGAAGTTAGATTTCAGGTAAAGAGATATTGTTTTTATAACAATAAAACTAATATACAGAGTGCAAGTTGAAAAACTTAGTCATTGAAGAATGAAATGCAGACCTACATATATATATAGTGCAAGCAACTATGTTTATTGGCAAAAACAAACGATTCATACAGATTAGAAGTGTTCGTAGCAGCCACATCATATTCACAACTACAGACAGCTAATGCTAACAGCTAACGCTAATGCTAACAGCACTTCACGGGGGAACTCTGGTGATATGGTCATTTAATGTTGTACATGTGGGGAACTAATAATTGACCGGAGTTTATGGATGGCTGAGGCTGGGCTAAGGCTTCGATGTTGTGTTGTCTGTTGTTGTTTCTCAAAGCTAAGCCAAGGTAATGCGCAGTTATTGCCACAAAATGCGGCCGTATTTCTACAACAGCTGGGGATTTTTAACTAGCTAACTTGGTGAAAACCCGCATTACAGTCTCAGGCAACAATATGTATAAATAATACAACTACTACTGCCACTACTGAGTAACATGCTCACCTGTTCAGTCGGAGAGAGGAATCCACGGAGCTAGAGGTCACCAACATGAATGCAGCTGGTCACCATGTTGCTCCTACTTTTTGTCGTTCCTCTGTTTCTGGCGTTTTGCCTGTATTTAATAAATCCATGGTATTTAGTCTGCAGCAGCGCTGGAGGCGGCTTTTCCTTCTCCGCCATGTTTGTTTTGAAGAGTGCGCGTGCACACACGGGAGAAACCCCTTATAAGGCGTGCTCTCTCGTCATTGGATAAGCGCATAGGATGTGAGGTTTTTTTATTAAATATGTGGGAGAAGACTGGAAGGACTGAGAGATCCGTGTTTAGGTACAAACACTCTATATAAGTGATGGCTATTGGAATATATCAATATTTAAGACGTATATTAACACCCAAAAATCGCTTACTGCTGCTTTAATTTGAGCACTATTTGACTGCCTTAAAACAAGATTCACCAATGGGACAAAGCAAAAGGATCTTGTTTTAAAAAGATACAAGAAATGTTTACCTTGGAATGATTCAAAGCAAATATTACCTCATTTTATCATTTTTTTGCAGTTTAATGTTAAAAGTTACTTCATTCATCCATTTCCATCTCCTTAATCTATTTCTGGGTTAGGGGATTAGATCAGAGCTGCCTCCCATTTCAGATAGCACCACTTAAAAGTTTGCGTCACAAAGTCAAAATTAATTCAGGAGATTGGTATTGGTGATCGGTCTCAAACATCCACCGCTCCTCATCATAAACATTCAGCCTGTGTTTTACATTTACTGGGAGTGTCAGAGTGAGCCTGACCTGCCACGATGATCCTCTCTGGAACCTGCATAATGGTGGTCTGGGGCAGTGGCTGCAGCATCGGCAGGGGCCCGGTCTGGCTGTCGGGGCCCATTTTGAGCGAGTCCGGGATCCTCATCCTTTGGCTGATGCCCTCTGTGTACTCCAGCTCATAGTGGATACGGTTCATTTCCGCAACATCCGCAGAGGGAGGGGCAAAGGCTGGACCACTCATCCCGCCTGGACACAGTATGAAAGAGACAATTAGAATATTTTTAAAAACAGAACCATTTTTAAGTAGCATTATGTAAGATTTTCATGTCAAGGCATCATTAAAGGGCCCCAATCTGTCAAAAGGCTTTAATAAAACATGCTCTTTTCAAATACTTCTTTAATTGTTAACAGTAGTTCAGAGACATTTGAATTTAAAGATTAGTTTTACAGCCCTTAAATCTTGTTATTGTTTTCATTTTGATGTCCCGCCCTCCACCGTTTTACTAATCAGAAAGTCTCTGATCCGAGCGCCAGAACTCACCACATCAAGCTAATCTACCATGTGGCGCAGAACAAAAAAAGGTCTCATTATGATTCTCAAATCATTAACGACAAAACAAGGAATAAAACCAGGATTTGTCTATTTGTGAAAAAGGTGTTGGTTATAGATTTGTTGTTGACAAAACTCTTTATTCAGATATTATGGTCCCAGCTGGATTCGTCTGCATATCTGGCAACCAGCGTCAGGGAGAGTGCAGTCCCACTTTTGGCCCAATTTTTATAAACTGCTCCTTTAATACTTCACACAAAAATAATAGTAGCGGATGTCTTTCAGAACTCAAATCTAATGTGTCAAATTGTGCTCTTCCGTGAGGTCCTGTTTACAACGTCAACATAATTTTTAATACTTTAATCTCTATTTACAGTGACATTAAGCTCAGAGAGACGGATATGTTATAGATAATAGCTAGATATCTACTCTACATGTCCATTATTTAACAAAAAAATCAAAGTGAGTAAAGGCCAACTATTCCAGCTTGTTGTTTTTGACATGGTTTGTAGACTGTATTTTTGCCATTTGGACATGACTCCACCATTCTTCACAACAAATAAATAAACAAATGTATCTGTCAAACATTCTCTCTATCAATTGCATGTAAAATGGCATTAGCACATCTTTGTACATTAAACGTGGGACTTTTCCTTACATCAACTGTATAGCACGTCTTCGAATAATACAGTTCTCAGGCTTACAACATTCAAAACAGAAACAGCATGCTTGCATCAAAACCGGTCAAGTGGTGGACTGAGGATGACAAGGAATCTATATGAGGATTCCCTGTGTGTCCATACTCATTAGGAATACAAAATAATATTGACAAGACAAGTGCAGACATGAGACAGTAGAGGCATAGACCTGGATCTTTCCGTGATGAAGCCAAAGAGCCAAAAATACTTCACTATCTCCTGAGAGAGAGGTGTGCAGCAGTGCAAACCACATAGGAGCTCGTGTTGACGCCTGTCTCAATGTCAAATAAAAGTACATATAAAAATTAGTAAGTAAAATACTAAATTTAAGGTCAGATATGCAACTGAAACGTGTCTTCATTTTGTTTATGTGGCATTATAAGAAGAAATTCGTCAATCACAGTCCAAGATCACAGCATGTTAGCTAGTGCGTCGGCAGCCCGTGCTTGTGCCATTCTTAGCTTGCCAATTATCAGCTCTAATCCGTGTGTATATTTACTCACCGCTGTGTGTTTTTAGCACGGGTTTAAAATGGCATGTGTCCAGGCGTTTTTAGCGGGACAGCAGCATCCAGCAGCCTCACGAAAGGCCAGTGAAAAGCGAAGGCGTGATGTCCTGTCCACCGCAGGAGCTCGTGAGGAAGGTACCGGAAGTGCACGGCAGGGCGGGGCTAACGGAGGAGCAACGATGTGTTTGCTTAGCTGTGCGTCCCAACATGCAAAACGAGTGCTCAGTGGCGAGGACCTGTTTTGCTGATCGATAAGCTGTCAAAAAACAACATTATATGGAATTTAGCAAGTATAACGCCTCTAATTCATCTTAAATTATAACTAATGTTTACAGTCTAAGATTAGAACCCTAGATTTAAAGGATACTGTTTTCATGTATTTATGATACTTATATAGTATACTTCTTTTAATAATAATGATAATAATAATAATAATAATAATAATGCATCTTTTTATTTCGTGCTTTTTAGACGCTTCACATAATATTCAATATTCACTCCATACACAGCGGTGATTGGTGATAAACTACTAATGTAGCCACAGTTGCCCTGGGGCACACTGACAGAGGTGAGGCTACAATTGTGTACCATCTCTCCCTTCGACCACCATCAACCATTCAGGCACACACCAGATTCATTCTAAGATAAGGGCACACTAGAATCATCAGCTCAACAGTTCAGTTCTGTTGAATAAGTTTTCCTCAGTTAGTCACATGAAGAGATTAATGCCATGCTGTGGGCCATGGAAGGAGCTTTGATTAGAGCAGCTGCTCCTTCAGACGGTCAGCTTCCAAGGCAGTGTGGGGCACTAAAAATATTAAAATGTGTTCTGTAATAGGCCAGGCATAAATTGTAAATTAAATTGAAAAATACATTTTGTAAATATATCAGTTAGACAGTTTTCTGCAAAAGGAATATGTACAAAATATGAATTCATTTTTCTTTTGCCTACATTTATGCACATGCCTAATTTGGTATAAATAATTTTAGTTTGTCTCAAATATGAAATATTTAACTGAAATGTCTTATCCAAACAAACAATGAATTATAAAGGATTGATTGATAGATCTATCTATATAGCCATCTATCTATCTGTGTCTTTCTCTAAATCCATAGCCCTCCTACAAACAAAAGAGATGAATACAACTCCCAGAATGCTCTCGCGTGGTGAGACATCGCGCATGCGCAGACCATCTGGGCCATTATTTTGTCCCGAAGCTTCAGATGAACAACAGGCTCCGCGCTCTGTGAAATGAATTAAACATTAAAAACCGCGGAAGGAGTGCGTCTCGGTCCGGCCCGTGCCTCCTGGAGCTCCATGGCCTCGCTAGGCTTCAAAGCCGCGGTGTGAGGGGCTTCTCCGGCCGGACTGACAGCCCATCCGCCACCCGCAGCAGCAGCAGCACAGACTGGGTGTTGATCTGGGACTAGCCGCCTTTAGCCACACCGCTCACGCAGGGCAAAACAGAGCCAGGGAGGGCGTCTGGACACCGGGTCAGCGCCGAACAGCGAGCAGCCCCCTCCGGAGAAGATGGCACACCTCCAGAGCCTCCAGAACCAGGTATGGAGCCTCCAGAACAGCCTGTCACCCTCCTGTGCATGACTGAGACACAGGCTGCATGATGGGTGGGGGACCCAACATGTGGAGACCAGGGCAGGACTAGGCTCACTGTACTTACTCATCTGTTACACAATACAATGCTTTTATATTTTATATTCACATCATTATTATTGCCTCAAAATACACACTACACTAGAGTTTAATCATGAACAATTCTTAGTTAGTTGAATCATTTATTTTAAAACCAAGACACAATTTCATAGTACAACAAAACACAGGTATTTGTGACAGTACAGGGTTAAAAAGGCTTCCCTCCCTGTTTGATGTAGGTTGGTATTCCATGATGGAGCCAAATTTGGGGGATATTGGCTTCAAATTTGGTCCATAGTAACCTAAATTGATTTGATTAAGTATCTGCCTTTTACTACTGAGATAAAGTCCCCATAACACTTATTTTGCTTGTATTTGACATCCCCTTTTTCTGTCCATTCCTGGATGTTTTATGTTTAACCAGAAAACATCCAGGAATGGACAGTAAAAGAAGTTCCTACAGTGGGTTAGCGGTGGCATTAAATCTTTTTGTAACGCTATAAATTGAGTATTGACTTGGCCAAACCTGAATGTAGCCTGTAGTTAAACATTTGGTCATAAATCATGGTAATGTATAGGCTATTACAATATCAACAGTTGCATTGTAAGGGTCTCTAAAGGCCCCCCAAGCATAAATTCACCAGGGGCCTGAAATGCCTTGGACCCTTTCAATGTGGGGTCCCCAAGCTACTGTCTTGTCTGCTCTCATCAACATGCATTCCACCACTTGTCATGATGCATTTATTAAACTACAATTCTGGGTCAGGCTTTTTGATTTTTTTTCATTAATAATCCAATATTTAAATAATTTATGAAATGTCAAAATTGGGAAATTGAGGCCCAGATAATGTGCGATAGTGAGTGTGTGTGGGTTTTCCCTACGCTTCTCTTGTCTCCGAGTTTGATGTGATATTACAGGTTTTAGATCTGTAGCATTTGGACTTAATGCATACAGTACATACATACATACATACATACAGTACATACATGTGTCTGTTACCTCTCTAAATACAGTCATGTGTAACTTTACTGTAGTTTTGGGCTGTACAGTGTCACAGAGTCTGACTTTTTTACATTGAAAACACAGTGAGAGTAAAGTGTCACAATGAAAACGTGATTAAGTTATTTGACTGTTGTTTATACTCACTGTTGTCAGGACTCATTATTCTGAGACACAGACAGTTTCATTTGACATGAAGACTTGCTTTGGAGGAATTCACTTTTCACTTTGAGAAAGTGATGCACTTTTGCAGGTTTTGCAGTTTGTACTAATTGTTCTGAGAAATGCACTAACTGTTGTGCAAATGTGAAGAGCGATGTGAGAAATGCACCAGAGCGACTGAGAAAAACTGTAGTACATTTTGTCCCTTTACAAAAGATATATTTCTGCATATTTATAGTTTAGGTTGGCTCTTGGCATGAACAAGTATACAATGTATTTAATTGCCTCACACACTTTTGTTATTTTATTGCTGCAGGTGATCTATTTTTAAAAGAACACCTCATACATATTACAGTAACTATTCAAAACATGTGCTATGACACAACTCGACTGCTCTGAACTAGGGTTACACACAATAGACAGATAGAGAGATAGACAGAGACAGACAGACAGACAGACTGATACATAGATAGACAGATACATAGATAGACAGACAGACAGACACGTAGATAGACAGACAGACAGACTGATACATAGATAGACAGACAGACAGACACATAGATAGACAGACAGACACTTAGATAGACAGACAGACAGACTGATACATAGATAGACAGACAGACAGACACATAGATAGACAGACAGACAGACACATAGATAGACAGACAGACAGACACATAGATAGACACAGACAGACACGTAGATAGACAGACAGACACGTAGATAGACAGAAAGACAGACTGATACATCGATAGACAGACAGACAGACACATAGATAGACAGACAGACACTTAGATAGACAGACAGACAGACTGATACATAGATAGACAGACAGACAGACACATAGATAGACAGACAGACAGACACATAGATAGACAGACAGACAGACACATAGATAGACAGACAGACAGACACATAGATAGACACAGACAGACACGTAGATAGACAGACAGACACGTAGATAGACAGAAAGACAGACTGATACATCGATAGACAGACAGACAGACACATAGATAGACAGACAGACAGACTGATACATAGATAGACAGACAGACAGACACATAGATAGACAGACAGACAGATACATAGATAGACAGACAGACAGACACATAGACAGACAGACAGATACATAGATAGACAGACAGACAGACACATAGATAGACAGACAGACACATAGATAGATAGACAGACAGACAGACTGATACATAGATAGACAGACAGACAGACTGATACATAGATAGACAGACAGACAGACACATAGATAGACAGACAGACAGACTGGTACATAGATAGATAGACAGACAGACACATAGATAGACAGACAGACACGTAGATAGACAGACAGACAGACAGACACGTAGATAGACAGACAGACAGACAGACTGATACATAGATAGACAGACAGACAGACTGATACATAGATAGACAGACAGACAGACAGACAGACACATAGATAGACAGACAGACAGACTGGTACATAGATAGATAGACAGACAGACACATAGATAGACAGACAGACAGACAGACACATAGATAGACACAGACAGACAGAGAGACACATAGATAGACAGACAGACAGACACATAGACAGACAGACAGACAGACAGACACATAGACAGACAGACAGACTTATACATAGACAGACAGACAGACAGACAGATACATAGATAGACAGATACATAGATAGATAAAAAGATAGATACATAGATAGATAGATACGTAGATAGATAGAGAGACTGTATTAATAACCATAGAAAATGACCAAGAAATTCAGGCGTCTAGCAGCAAAAACACATAAATCCATACAAAATAATAATTCTAAAATCTATACTCGAACTATATACTCATACTATACTCATGTATGAAAGTTGAGCTGTATACAAGAGATTATCAAACATCTGCTGCAAAATATGTGTCATCAAGCAATAAGGAAATGAGTCTAAAATCCATGTTTAGTTATTACACCGGTATATCACTGCTCTGCCACTGCCCAAGTAGAATGCCGGCTTTTTCTCAGGTATTGTCTATTTATTGTAATATTATCTAAATATCTAATAAGTCTTCAGCAATGACAGTCACAGGTTCCTACTGTGATAATAAAAATACTCAAACGATCTGGGACAAACGGTGGCAAATGTTGGCAAGTTTTTTTTGGATCCATGCCAAGTTAAAACCATAGGGAAGCGAGGGACAAAAGAAAAAGGGTCAAAACTCACTGCTGACTAAAGTCCAGTTTATTTGGACCAGTTTAAGCACTGTAATTTTTTTGTATTTTCTCTGATGTGTGAGCTCTGGTGTATACTATCGTCTCTGTCTGGTGCACACCGGGGTAGACTTGCACAGTTTTTCCCAATGTGGTTTTACTGCAAATGGCAAATAAATTCTTGAATATTGAATCTAATAACACAAATAATTTGGTGTTATGTTTTGTTTTTTTTATTATAGGCCTCTACAAATTGGTTGAGATGCGGTTTAATGGTAAAAGTGCCTCCAAAGAGATATATTTCAGCTCCAAACATGCTTGAAGTAGATATATTGACTCTTTGAAAATCCAAAAATGGACAAAAATACATTGCTTTCTTCAAGGAGTGAATGTTAAACGGAAAATAAACTGGACTTTAGAAGATTTTGAAAGATCAGAAGTGAGTTTTGACCCTTTATTATTTTGCCAATCGCTTCCCTGTGGTTATAACTTGACATGGATCCAAAAAAGACTTGCCAACCTTCCCCACTGTTTGTCCCAGATGGCGTCACAGAATATTAACATTATACACATTATATATACATTATTAGCACAGTAGGAACCTGCACTGCCACGATTATTTTTATTTTTTATTATTTTGTTTATTTGACAGGGACATTGCACAATAAATGTATTGTTCAGACCGGACATAGCAACAAGATCATTTTCATCCGTAGTCCCTGAGGCAGAGGCATCAGTGTGCAAAGAATTGATACATAGAAAGAATGGCCTAATAATTAGTAAAATGCGGGTAAAACACAACACCTCTAATGACACAGACAGAGTGAATAGCACTCTCGCTTCTCAGCAAGAAGGTCCTGGGTTCGAATCCCGGTTGGAACAGGGCCTTTCTGATGGAGTTTGCATGTTCTCCCCCTGTCTGCGTAGTTTTCCTCCGGGTACTCCGGTTCCCCCTACCACTAAAAACATGTACAATAGGTCTGGCATGTGCCTCCTGTACTGGCCCCGCTCCCATCTCTGTGTGGACTGAGAGACAAATGCCCACAACCATTGTAAACTGCTTTGTGACTCTGGTCTGTGAAAGGCGCTATATAAATGAAAATTAATTACTTACTTAGAAATAATTGCACAAAATAAATCTTGTTTGTGTTTAGAACTCGCGTCTGGACCCGGAGGAGTACTTCACCAAACAGGAGCGCATCGGCAAAGGCTCGTTCGGAGAGGTCTACAAAGGCATCAACAACCGCACCAAGGAAGTGGTGGCCATCAAGATCATCGACCTGGAGGAGGCGGAGGACGAGATCGAAGACATCCAGCAGGAGATCACGGTGCTCAGCCAGTGCGACAGCCCCTTCGTCACCAAATACTACGGATCCTATCTAAAGGTGAGGCCCCCGGCACGATCACAGTGTTATTATTCAGAGTACAACATTTCCTACACAAACATCACATTTTATAGTGTATTACTATATAATTAGAGGCGACAGTAGCTCAGTTGGTAGAGCATTGGCCTTTGAGCCAGAAGGTTGTGGGTTTGAGCCCACCTCAAGACTTTCACCATCAACTCCCACTGTCTTCTGCTGCTTGCGAAATTAATCATTTTGAACCTTTTTAAACCCAAATTCTTTAGGATTTTTTTTTTCTTCTACTCACAAAGGTTACTTTCTGGTTGGACACCGCCAGCAGATGTCAGAGAGGTAGAGGGAGTCACCATAGCAATCAGAAAGTAAACAAGGCTCAAAGCTCTCTCTCTGGTCTCTCTCTGGTCTCTCTCTCTGGTCTCTCTCTCTGGTCTCTCTCTGGTCTCTCTCTGGTCTCTCTCTCTGGTCTCTCTCTCTGGTCTCTCTCTCTGGTCTCTCTCTCTGGTCTCTCTCTGGTCTCTCTCTGGTCTCTCTCTGGTCTCTTTTTCTGGTCTCCCTCTGGTCTCTCTCTGGTCTCTCTCTGGTCTCTCTCTGGTCTCTCTCTGGTCTCTCTCTGGTCTCTCTATGGTCTCTCTATGGTCTCTCTCTGGTCTCCCTCTGGTCTCTCTCTGGTCTCTCTCTGGTCTCTCTCTCCGGTCTCTCTCTGGTCTCTCTGGTCACTCTGGTCTCTCTCTGGTCTCTCTCTCCGGTCTCTCTCTCTGGTCTCTCTGGTCACTCTGGTCTTTCTCTGGTCTCTCTCTCTGGTCTCTCTCTCTGGTCTCTCTCTCTGGTCTCTCTCTGGTCTCTTTTTCTGGTCTCCCTCTGGTCTCTCTCTGGTCTCTCGCTGGTCTCTCTCTGGTCTCTCTCTGGTCTCTCGCTGGTCTCTCTCTGGTCTCTCTCTGGTCTCTCTCTGGTCTTTCTCTCTGGTCTCTCTCTCTGGTCTCTCTCTGGTCTCTCCCTGGTCTCTCCCTGGTCTCTCCCTGGTCTCTCCCTGGTCTCTCTCTGGTCTCTCTCTGGTCTCTCTCTGGTCTCTCTCTCCGGTCTCTCTCTGGTCACTCTGGTCACTCTGGTCTCTCTCTGGTCTCTCTCTCCGGTCTCTCTCTCTAGTCTCTCTGGTCACTCTGGTCTTTCTCTGGTCTCTCTCTCTGGTCTCATTACACTAGTCATGGTGTTGTCATAGTAACAGTAGATCTACGAGGCCTACATAAAACCAAGTGGAACTGTAGCGAGCGGTAATAACTGTGGAGCTTGTTTCACTCGGAGCTTTTTCCACGTGACACCAACACAACACCGCAACTTCATGTCGTTTCATTTACTCCACTACTTTTGCCTTAAACATAAATATATCGTGTTTTTATAGATGTCAAAAAGTATAGATTACTCAATTAATATAAGTTTGTAATGGACGGATTTACTCAATTCCCACTAAACATCCGACGTCCACTCAACCTCCAGATCACGTCAATATCGCGTCGGTCGGTCGTGACCTTTTATTTACGTCCAAACGACGTCTGTGCAAGGTGCGCATCTGGACGTAAAACAATGACCTCCCATATACGTGGATATGACGTTCAATCTCGACCTCCCCTAGACGTCGAAAACAGGTCATCGGCCGTCCGACGCAGTACGTCTTGATCTAGCAATACAATATATAGGCTGTGAAGCAACACAAGTGTACCTGACGGTAGTGTAGTGGTTAAGCAAATGTGTGCAGTCTTGGTTACGTGGGTTCGAGCCCACGTGTGTGTATTATTATCTTTACATATTTGTTTTGATTTTTAACAATTTTTTTCTGTTTGGTTAAAGACTAATAAACACTCAACATAGGATTACGTAGTGGCTAATAATAAAACTTGTGAATGTATGCATTTGTTGTGCTAACAATCTCAAGTTTGCAAATAAGGGGTGAGCACTTGAAATTTTATGCAAATGCATGGGTTCACAAGTTTTATTATTAGCCACTACATAATCTTATGTTGAGTGTTTATTCGTTCTATTTCATCCTTCCTGACCGCCAGAGGCGGTGCTTAAGCACTGGATGATCATCCTCGCGCATGCACAGATCGAGAGTCAAATAACAACAAAGTCACCCGTGACCTCCGGTAGCTCACGCAAGAGTCTATAAAGCCACGTGACACCGGAAGCACAGTCCCTTTTCACTTTCTCGCATGCAGGTTGTATGAGTCTGGCTGAAGCTAACTGATAGCTGTTTGTGCCTGTTGTTCGCGCCGCTTGCTGCCTGTAGCCCCGTGACTGCTCGTCGGTCGGTGCTGCGAGTTTCTCGCCCTCCGTGGGCTGCGCAAGCCGCGCTGCTTGCCTCTGGTGAGTGTTTGTTTTGCTTACTCGCCGTGACTTGTGCTCGGTTGTTTTTCGTTACTTCTTATAATTGGGGGGTTACTAGTGGCGTTTCTGCTCGACCCGACCCTGTTATCTGGTTGTTTACCTGCGCGTATTCAGAGTGTGTTTGGTGGGTTACCAGTGGCGTTCTGCTCGACCTGACCCTGTGTCTTGTTAATTACCTTGTTAATTATTTGTTAATTTCTGTCGGTCACTGGTGGCGTGTCTGCTCGACCTGACCCTGTTGAATTGGCTGTTGCCTGCGCGTGTTCCACGTGTTTCTGCGGGTTGTAAGTGGCGTCTCTGCTCGCACTACCCTACTATATTGGTTGTTCCCTGCACGTGTACGGCGTTCGGTGGGTCACTAGTGGCGTCTCTGCTCGACCTGACCCTGCTGTATTGGTTGTTCCCGGCACGTGTACGGCGTTCGGTGGGTCACTAGTGGCGTCTCTGCTCGACCTGACCCTGCTGTATTGGTTGTTCCCTGAACCTGTGAGGCGTTCGGTGGGTCACTAGTGGCGTCTCTGCTCGACCTGACCCTACCGGGAGTGCCCCTGTACTTGGCGGCGACTGCTCCTGCGCGTTCGCTCGCTGGGATGCTTGAGCCGTTGGCCTGCCAGTCCTGTCTGGCCCCGATGCAGCAGGACGATGGCCATGTGCTGTGTCCCTCCTGTCTGGGTGTGGGCCACCTGCGGGAGGCGCTAACCGAGCGGGCATGTCCCGATTGTGCGGTAATGCCCTGGCCGGTGCGCGTGGCCCGCCTGTCGGCCCTGGACGGACATTTCAGTGGCGATTCTGGGGACTGTGAGTCTGCCCTGTTGGTTGACAGACCCCCTGGTCGCAAACGTGAGGGCGCCCGGGGTGATGACCCTCCGCGGAAGAAGTCGAAGTCCTCTGGTCGCGGGGTTCTGACTTCGAAGGTCGATTCACTCTCTGTGGAGTTGGCTCAGTTGCGGACCCTCCTTCATGACCTTCAGGCTGGTACTGGCCAGTCGGTGGCCCGACCGGTCTCGGTCCCTTTGTCGGTGTGCGATGAGGATGATGCTCTCTCGGTGGCGGCATCTGACACACATTTTCGGCCGGGCTCTGATGTTCTGAGCTCCAGGGTCTCGGAGTCTGGTTCGGTGGGTTCTGTCGGGTCTCTGTCGGTTTCCGATGAGCCCGTGACTGCGGCGATCCGAACGGCTCTGGCGCATTTGAAGCTGGATGTGCCTCGGTGCAATGCGGGGCCCTCGAGTGCCTTCTTTCGCCGCCAGTCTGCGTCCTCGGGGTTCTCTGTTCCTCCTTCGGCGGAATATGTCAAGGAGCTACATGCCTGTTGGACTGACATGAGGGTTTTTTCTAGGCCCAATTCGGACGGTCGGGCCCTGGCTTCTATGCAGGCGCCTGACAAAGTTGGCCTGGGGCATATGCCGGCGGTGGAGCCTGCCATTGCCTCCTTGATTGTACACCCTGAAGAGGCTCTGCGCACTAATGCCCGGTGCCCTCGGCCGCAGTGTCGGGCCACAGATGACCTGCTCTGCAAGGCCTATGACATGGGTGCCCGCATGGGCCGCATTGGGAACTCCCTGTCTCATCTGCTGTTGGGGCTGTCCGCTTCTCTGGAGGCTGTCACGTTGGACCAGTCCACGCAGGGGATGGTGGATGCTTCCTTGCAGGCTTTTGCCTTCATGTCTAGGGAACTGGGGCGTCTCCTCTCTACGCTGGTTCAGACTCGCCGCCAGGTGTGGTTGGCGCAGTCCCCTCTCTCCGAGGCCAGCCGCAGGGTGTTGAGGAGCGTTCCTGTGCTCCCTGGAGAGCTGTTTGGCTCGGCTGCCATTGCGGCTCTGGAGCGCACGGTCCAGGCCACTCAGACCCGGCAGCAGTTGGTGGGACTGCACAGGCATCCCTCGCGTGCGTCCGCTTCTGCTGCCCCTGTGCGCGGGCGGGTGGCTCCGCCCCGGAGTTTTTCTGTGCCCCGGACGGTGGATGGGCCGTCGGCTCATGGGGCTCGGCGCGGGAACTTTCCCCCGGCTCAGGCTCCACTGCGTCCCAGTCGTCGCCCCACCCGGCCCGCTAAAGGCCGGGGTGCCCTCCGGTGAGGCGCCGGGGCCGGTGGTGGGACGGTTTACCCCGGGACAACTTGGTTACTGGAGGGCCCAATCCCCCGATGCATGGGTTGTGGCCACTTTGTCCGTGGGGTATCGTCTCCAGTTCCGCCGCCGGCCTCCTGTTCCCGGCCGAGTCCTTGTGACTGTCATCCAGGACCCGGTCAGGGCGCAGGCACTTGTCCGGGAGATTCGTACTCTACTGGACAAGGATGCCATCGTGCCTGTCGACCCCCTGCTGGATCCAGGGGGCTTTTATTCCCGTTATTTTCTGGTACCGAAGAAGACCGGCGACTTGCGACCGGTCTTGGACCTGAGGCGTCTGAATGTTTTCTTGAAGGTCCTCCCTTTCAAGATGTTGCGTGTCCGGCAGGTCCTCCAGGCGGTGTCCCCTGAGGACTGGTTCACGTCAATAGACCTGAAGGACGCCTATTTTCACGTCCCGATTGCTCCTCAGCATTGCCGGTTCCTTCGTTTTGCCTTTCAGGGGAGGCACTTCCAGTTCAGGGTGCTTCCCTTCGGCCTCTCGCTCTCTCCTCGGGTCTTTACGAGATGCGTGGC